TTGCCATCAAACGTAAAACACATGTCTCTTTCAAGTATTAAACTTATCGCCTCCCTGCGAGAGACCTTGGATGTCAACACATGTCTTCAAAGCTTATCTATTAAATCTCTTGATGTGGAGTCTTTTCCCGACGATGTTTTGCTGCCACCTTCTCTTACTTCTTTAACAATCAGTAATTGCCGAAATCTCAAAAGGCTAGACTACAAGGTTCTCTATAACCTCTCCTCTCTCACACTTTTTGATTGCCGTAACCTCCAATGCTTACCTGAGGAGGGTCTGCCCGAATCCATCTCTTCTCTTCAAATTTTGAACTGTCCATTGCTGGAGCAGCGTTGTCAGAAGCCAGAAGGCAAAGATTGGAGAAAGATTGCTCACATTCAAAATCTGAGAGTTTGATAATAAGATGAAGCAGAAGTTCAAAATTAGATGTGCTTCAATTCCCGTTCATCTTCCTTCTCCTTACTTCAAACTTAGATGTGCTAATTCTTCTCACATTCTAATTGCATGGCTTCGACAAACTCTTCTTTGTTTTGATGTTTTTTCTATTAGAGTGGCATGAGGTCTCTTCTTTGGAATTATATTTATTTGTTTGAACCATGAAGAAAAATAAAAGATGAATTTTTTATATAGTACAAATTATTATTTGTGGAATGACAAGATGAAAGACCGGTTGTTATGAAGAAATTTCATGGTTGGTCTTTTATTTATAAATTCATATATAGAAAATATTTATTTTGAGTCAAGATTTTTTTTTTTCTTTTTTCTAAATTCGTAAACTTACACTTGTTTATCTTTTACTTTTAATGTTTTATTCATTCTAATTTTATCATTTAACTCCTTTGCACATATGTCATCTCCAATGAGTTGTTGCAACTGATTAGACACATTAAGGATCATTAGTTGTTTCTTTAAAATATAAATCGGCTTTAAAAGAAAGTTCTGTACGAACAAGACACGGAAGATTAAAGATTTTTATATGATTAACTCATCATGTATAACGATATAATTAACTCATTGGATTTGATCACTCTACAGAACTTTTTGAATTATGTCTATATATTACAGGAATCATATAAGCTTTTAGCATATATGTACTTCGATCTTTTCTCAATCACCAAGTCCTTTTATTACAATTTTGTATCTCACTGTGTTAATATATGGTATATAGTGTAAAAATAACACCAATATTTATTTAAAAATAAAATTTTATTTCATTCTTTAATAAATAATTTAGTGACCGTTGTTTAATGTTGTAAAACGTTAATATTAGTAGCATTTTTACAATATTTCCTTTATTAATAAAAAAAATTTAATAATATGAACAAGTAGCTCTATATAAAATTTGATATGCTAAATGCATTTATTATGTGTCCACTCATTCTTTCGTTGGATTTTTTATATCTATATAGGCAAATCTCATTCATAAATTATAATAATAGGTTATTTTTTTTAAAATTACGTTAAGTCGTGTTGGTGCTACACGACTTTAAATTGAGAAATCTTGTATTCCAGTCGACCTTTGAATTGATAGAGCCGAACAGTGAAAGTTGTTAATCTCTCAATGACTTTAGTATGTTTTAATCAATTACGATAAAAAGGTAATTGATTATCTTATGCTGAAATCGTTAAGAGACATGACTATTTTCAATTGCAAATTAAAAGTCACCTTAAGACAAGATAACTTCCATTGTAATTGATTATAGGGTACTTGTGATCGACTATCGGTGGACTTTATTCGTATAATCTGAAGGTGTAATCGATTACAAGTTTCCTATATGAATTACCAGGTAACTTTCTTCGTAGAACACTGAATTATAATCTATTATGTTTTTATTTAATTCATTAGTAGAGGGATTTGGCTCTTATCATATAGGAAACATATTGTAATTAACAAAAATCTTGATTGATTCAATGATTCATGCTGTGTATATATTATGGTAATTCAGTTACATAAGTTTATAATTAAGTATTAAGAATTTGTAGATATTCATTATTGATTAAATTATTTATTTTGATTAATAAATAACATTTAATTTGTAAGCTATATTCCCACGAAACTATCTGAGTTCCTCAATTATCTTATTAGGCTTTTTGACTTTCGACCAAGATATCCATGTGTCTTCTTAACCTAGGAACTAAGTGTACGTGTCTTGCTGACCTTATTAGATTGGAGACGTGACACATTGTTTGTCACCAAACAATCTTATCGACCTTGGAATATAGTATACATGTATTAAATAGGTTTGGACATGGCTCACCATTTGTCATGTTAGAAGAACACGTTAGAAGAAGAAAAAAAAACTAACACCGTTGGTCAAAGAACTAAATTTGTGACATTTCGAAAAGAAAGAGAGAAAAATTGATCAAAGTTTAGGATAAAAAGAAAATAAGCCACAAAAATATATTTAACCCTAGAGAAAATGTTACTAAAGAGACAAAGAGAGACTAATAATCAAATCTTGGCTAATTAAAAAGTTAATTACTCACTGCATATACTAAATTGTCTTAATTATCCCATGATAACCAATTAAGTGAATAAAGAAATAATGAGAATTAGTATATTGCATGAATAAAATATAATTGATGCAATATATATATATATATATATATATNCGACAAACTCTTCTTTGTTTTGATGTTTTTTCTATTAGAGTGGCATGAGGTCTCTTCTTTGGAATTATATTTATTTGTTTGAACCATGAAGAAAAATAAAAGATGAATTTTTTATATAGTACAAATTATTATTTGTGGAATGACAAGATGAAAGACCGGTTGTTATGAAGAAATTTCATGGTTGGTCTTTTATTTATAAATTCATATATAGAAAATATTTATTTTGAGTCAAGATTTTTTTTTTTCTTTTTTCTAAATTCGTAAACTTACACTTGTTTATCTTTTACTTTTAATGTTTTATTCATTCTAATTTTATCATTTAACTCCTTTGCACATATGTCATCTCCAATGAGTTGTTGCAACTGATTAGACACATTAAGGATCATTAGTTGTTTCTTTAAAATATAAATCGGCTTTAAAAGAAAGTTCTGTACGAACAAGACACGGAAGATTAAAGATTTTTATATGATTAACTCATCATGTATAACGATATAATTAACTCATTGGATTTGATCACTCTACAGAACTTTTTGAATTATGTCTATATATTACAGGAATCATATAAGCTTTTAGCATATATGTACTTCGATCTTTTCTCAATCACCAAGTCCTTTTATTACAATTTTGTATCTCACTGTGTTAATATATGGTATATAGTGTAAAAATAACACCAATATTTATTTAAAAATAAAATTTTATTTCATTCTTTAATAAATAATTTAGTGACCGTTGTTTAATGTTGTAAAACGTTAATATTAGTAGCATTTTTACAATATTTCCTTTATTAATAAAAAAAATTTAATAATATGAACAAGTAGCTCTATATAAAATTTGATATGCTAAATGCATTTATTATGTGTCCACTCATTCTTTCGTTGGATTTTTTATATCTATATAGGCAAATCTCATTCATAAATTATAATAATAGGTTATTTTTTTTAAAATTACGTTAAGTCGTGTTGGTGCTACACGACTTTAAATTGAGAAATCTTGTATTCCAGTCGACCTTTGAATTGATAGAGCCGAACAGTGAAAGTTGTTAATCTCTCAATGACTTTAGTATGTTTTAATCAATTACGATAAAAAGGTAATTGATTATCTTATGCTGAAATCGTTAAGAGACATGACTATTTTCAATTGCAAATTAAAAGTCACCTTAAGACAAGATAACTTCCATTGTAATTGATTATAGGGTACTTGTGATCGACTATCGGTGGACTTTATTCGTATAATCTGAAGGTGTAATCGATTACAAGTTTCCTATATGAATTACCAGGTAACTTTCTTCGTAGAACACTGAATTATAATCTATTATGTTTTTATTTAATTCATTAGTAGAGGGATTTGGCTCTTATCATATAGGAAACATATTGTAATTAACAAAAATCTTGATTGATTCAATGATTCATGCTGTGTATATATTATGGTAATTCAGTTACATAAGTTTATAATTAAGTATTAAGAATTTGTAGATATTCATTATTGATTAAATTATTTATTTTGATTAATAAATAACATTTAATTTGTAAGCTATATTCCCACGAAACTATCTGAGTTCCTCAATTATCTTATTAGGCTTTTTGACTTTCGACCAAGATATCCATGTGTCTTCTTAACCTAGGAACTAAGTGTACGTGTCTTGCTGACCTTATTAGATTGGAGACGTGACACATTGTTTGTCACCAAACAATCTTATCGACCTTGGAATATAGTATACATGTATTAAATAGGTTTGGACATGGCTCACCATTTGTCATGTTAGAAGAACACGTTAGAAGAAGAAAAAAAAACTAACACCGTTGGTCAAAGAACTAAATTTGTGACATTTCGAAAAGAAAGAGAGAAAAATTGATCAAAGTTTAGGATAAAAAGAAAATAAGCCACAAAAATATATTTAACCCTAGAGAAAATGTTACTAAAGAGACAAAGAGAGACTAATAATCAAATCTTGGCTAATTAAAAAGTTAATTACTCACTGCATATACTAAATTGTCTTAATTATCCCATGATAACCAATTAAGTGAATAAAGAAATAATGAGAATTAGTATATTGCATGAATAAAATATAATTGATGCAATATATATATATATATATATATATAGTTTTATATTTTAAAGTCAGAGAATATCCAAACAATTAAAGTTTACTAGGCCCATATATAAAATTTTGGTTTCAAAATATTGTAAACCAAGAAAGAAGAGTAATTTATTTCACCTTATTGTCAGACATGCATTCATGGATTACAGAAATGAACATTTTTCTTATCAGAAAGACAAGAATTATTGCTTCGCTGGGCCCTCAACCTCTTTCCAGACAGATAAGGTTGAATTCATCTCAGATAAGGTTTTGGTTATGTGGAGTTAAATTAACTTAAATCCACTTTTTAATGAGAATCATGAATTAAAGTTTATCATGTTTAGAATACGTAGAGTGTTAATGTCCCACTTCAAAGTGTGTAGTTCTGCTGGATCGTATCAATGTCAAGTCCTTTGAGCTTCACGACAGACTCAACATGACCCTTTAGAGTGTGAACCTCCCTTAGCCTGGAAACTTCTGCACGTTTCCTGGCCTGTTCTGCAAGTTCAGACAGCTCCCTATAGTCGTTTCTCTCATTCAAAATGTCATCAACAGTTTGAGGTGGATTCAATCCATGCAATGTGCGTTGAGCTGCAGCCCACTGTGCTTCTCTTTCTCCCTTTCCATAATCGTTCTTTGAGTTGAAAGCAACCCTATTCTCAGTGATATTGTTCCAAGCCTTTCCAGTTAATGCATATCGGATGATGAACTTCAGAATATCCATGGGAATATAGAAAACGATGCTGTAGAGCCAAATCACACCAGCCCAACCACATCCAATGCCTTTAATCTTTGCAAATTCCCAGTTTGCATACACAGCTATGATTGTGGCTATGAGCTGTGCTATAAAAAAAGCAACGACAAGAAGCAGACCAGGGCGTTCAACGTAAGACCAGCTCCTGGAGCGTGTCACAAAAATGAGTGCTTGACTTACAATGCTCACTTGAAGATAAACAGCTGCCGTGAGCTCGCCGTGGCTTTCCCTGATGGATCTCACTCCGAATTTGTCCGAGAAAAAGTTAGATGCATAAGCAGCCCAGAAGAAGACAACGGTCATGATAGCTAGGTAGGCACCGAGAACAACGCCGGTAAAGAAAATCTCTCTCAACTTCCAGGAATCTGGCACTGGAGATGGCTTCACCCTGTCTTTGGAAATGGTCATGATGGTACCATCATTCAGAATGGCAATGATCAAAACCATGAAGGGTGAGAAGTCAAACTTCCAGATCAGAGCAAGCAGCATAAACCCTAACACCACTCGGATGGTAATAGAAACAGCATATATGGTGTAATTCTTCATCCTTTGGAAGATGGCTCTGCTTGTCAACACAGCACTCACGATCACACTCAAGCCAGGCTCGGTGAGAACTATGTCGGATGCACTTCGAGCTGCGTCAGTTGCATCGGCAACAGCGATCCCAATATCAGCTCTTTTGAGTGCAGGTGCATCGTTCACACCATCTCCTGTCATCCCACAAATGTGTTTCCTTTCCTGGAGTCTCTTAACTATCTCGTACTTGTGCTCAGGGAAGACACCGGCAAAGCCATCAGCTTTCTCAATAAGTTCATCAATGGGAAGTGCAGCAATGGACTCATCCTTATGCTGACCGAGGAGGGATGAAGAAGGATACATGTTGCTTCCCATGCCAAGTCTGCGACCAGTTTCCTTGCCGATGGCTAGCTGATCACCTGTAATCATCTTAACGTTAACTCCTAGATGGAGAGCGCGCCTTATAGTCTCAGCACTGTCATGCCTTGGTGGGTCAAAGAGTGGCAACAGACCCACGAACTGCCATGGTCCTCCAGCACTCTCCTTTGTCTTTTCTGGCACCTCTTGTTTCGCCACAGCAAGCGAACGAAGACCGCGGTCAGCAAATTTACCAATGATGGATAAAGCCTTCTTCTTCACTTCTTCCCGAAGGTTGCAGAGCTCGATAATCTGTTCTGGTGCACCTTTGCTTACTCGGTACCACTTACCTTCACTGTCTATGTATGTTATGGCTGTGCGTTTGTCCACCGGGTTAAATGGCAGAAAATGCACCTCTGTAATGCCATCTCTAGCCTCTTTTGGATCGCCCAACATTCCAACTATGCAAGTATCAATAGCATCCTGGTTTTCAACTCTGGAGGCCCTAGCCCCAAGCAAAATTACTGTATCCTTGTCAGCATCTCTTGAGAAAATCTCAATCAAAGACTTGTCCACTGTAAGCTTGTTAAGTGTTAGAGTGCCAGTCTTGTCACTGCACAGAACATCCATCCCAGCCATATCCTCAATGGCTGTCATCCTCTTGGTGATAGCACCTTGCTCAGAGAGCCTGTGGGAACCAATTGCCATTGTTACTGACAACACTGTAGGCATGGCAATGGGAATCCCTCCAATCAGAAGAACCAAGAGGTTGTTGATTCCGCTCCTGTACTTGCGGTGCTGAATTGGATACATCACCACAATTTCAATGATCATCCCCAAAGCAATTGAGCAAATGCAGAA